TATTTTTACTCTCTTTAAATAATATAGTTAAAAATACTATAATACAAGAGAAATTATAAATAAATTATTAATAGAAATTGTAGAACCTAATAAAGACTTAGATATCGTGGTAGCTTTTAGGTTCTAGCTATAAAATAATAGCGTTAATCTATCGTTAGTCTATTAATATACTATCTTAGTCTATAATAAATCTAAGGAATTCTACTCTTTTTTAGTAAAATATATATTTTAAAGGTTTTACGTAAAGTCCTATTTCTTTTATTCTTTTAAGGATTTAGTGGATATAATAAATATATAATTCGCGGTCTAATAAGAGTATTAGAATATTATCTAAATATATAACGCAGGAGATATTAAGTAATCCCTGTAAAGCGGTATAAATATAATTCTAGAAGATAATAGGAGTATTAGTTAAGCTAAATAATATAACTATATGCTTCCCTATGTAGCTAGATAAGTAAGTCAGCGTAGACCTGGACAGACCCGCGGATAACCCATATAGGTCGACCTGTGGGTCAGCCTATAGACGGGTTGTGGGTTAGACCTCTTGACCTATAGGCGGGTCAAGATTTTTTTAATCTATCCCGCGGGTTAATAGATTAACCTATTTAACCTATTTAGATAGATACTTTATTAACTATATAACTTTTATAAATTATATTATTCTTAGCTATATTTTTAGGTATTATATTTATTTTAGTTAAATAATTTTTTATAGTAATTAGGAGAATAATTCTTAAAAAGTAATTCTAGAGAATATTATTTTAAATATTAATCGATTTTAATTTTAAAGCTTATAATTATTAAATATTTATAGATATTTATAAACCTTACTAGAAATCTATAAGAGACTATAATTATCTTTATAATCACTTTTTAACTTTTCTTACTATAGTTAATAAGATATATCGACTATAATTATTAGATCTATAATATCTTTCTTTTTATTATTACTAATTAGTATAATCTCTTTATAAATTTTTTAGGTCTTTTTTTCTTTTTATATAATTTCTAATTTATTCTACTCCTAAAGCTCTTAAATAAATATAAGCTACTTCTTTTTAATTTTAAATTTAGTAATATATATAAATATTATTAGATCCTATATAATAGATATATTTAATATCTTTTATTAATAATAGTAAATATCATACGCGGAATTAAATAATCGCTTAATATTAATATTAATAGCTAAGATTAAGAGAAGATTATAGGTAAGGCTTATAAATATAGGAAATTTATATTAATAATCCTTCTAGAACTAATAAAATAAGATTAGGATAATACCTAGATAGAGGACGGATTATAATAATTAGTATAATATTTAGATAGATTAAAACTAATATCTTTATTAAAACCGGGATTCTAAGATAGGCCTTAAAATTATAGTTCTAATAAAAATAGAAAGATAGAAACTTAATAGATTAGAATTAAGGTTTTAAGTAATTACTTAGAACCCTAATTTTAATAAAGATATATATAGAAATTTATTTCTTTTAATATATTATATTATCTTAGACTAGGAGTTTAAGATAGAAGAATTAGCTATTAAAAATATATTAAGCTTATTAGTTTAATAAGACTATTTTATTTTAGATAGTAATTAAGAGTTTAGAATATTACTAGTTTAGTAATTTAGAAGCTAATCTTTAAGACTTCGTTAGTATTAGATATTATAATCTATCTAAAAGTAATCTTAGTCTTTAATTTAAAAGAATTTAATCTTATATTAAAGGGCTAAGATAGTACTAATTATATAGATATTACTAAACTCTTTATTATCTATTATAGAGTAATATTTATAGAGTTTATCTTTAGCTAATTTAAGGGCTTAATATATCTATTATTTCTATTTAATCTTTTTTTACTAAACTATCTAATTAATCTCTTAAGATAATTAAATAGTTTATTATAGATAATAAAGATAGTATAAATAGTAATATCCTTTATTTTCAAAAGAATTATAGTAAATTAGAAAAATAGCTAGATAATATTAAAAAGATAGTTAATCTAGTATTATTTATCTATATTAATTTTAAGATAAAGATAATTATATTTAGAGTAAAATTAATTAAAGACTAATTATAACTATTTTATATATTAGAGTATTAAAAAGGTTAAATTTTATCTAGTTTAGATATCTTAAATTAGAACTAATCAAGGGTAGTTAGGCTAAAGACTAAAAAAGGACTCCCGATATTAAGGGCTTATATTAATAAAGATTATAAGGTTTCTAATCTAAAATATAAAATAGATTAGTATTTTAATTAATATATAAGAAATATAGATATATATCTTTATAAGAGTTATTATAATATCTCGTTTTTATATTTTTTAATAAATATATTAAATATATTTCTTAGACTAAATAGTCTTAGTTATCTTATTTTAAGGGTTTATTTTTATCTAGCTAAATAGTTATTTTAAATTTAACTAAATTATATATATAATATATAGAACCTAAATAATTATTACCTTAGAGTTAATATCTAATAATTAAATAGAATCTTAGATACTTAAAATAAAAGTAGAGTTATTTAATATATTATTAGTTATTACTATAAATACTTAGTCTTTAATCTAATATTTCTAGAGGATATTAAGGAGGGTTATACTAAGATTCTATCTAAAGTATATACTAGAAATAGGTTTAAAGCTAAATAAAACCTTTTAATAATTCTAATTTATATTAATAAAATAGCTAGAGATAGCTATAAATACTTATTAAAATAACGATATCTAATAGTTAAGACTAATAGAGAGTTTAGTCTTAGATAGAAGCTTTTAAAATAAATCTTTTTATTAATCTTAGGTTATTCCCTAGATTTAATATTATATAGTTTAATAGGAAGAGAAATTAGGGATAAATAATAATAATTAGGTTATTTAAAGAAAGGCTTAGAATTTAGGATATTTAATAGTTTAAAAAAGAAGTTATAAAATAGTTATTATAGCGATTAACTATTACTCCTATAGCTCTTAAATAACTAGTTAGGCTATTTAAAGAGAGTTCTTAGTCTAAGAAAGATTAGTCTATAAATTAAATAATAGCTATATAATATATTATATATTCTATAAGATATTAGATTATTAAATATTTAATAATACTTTAGCCTTTCTAGTATATACTCCGATTCTAGTAGTATTAAAGACCTATTATCCTATTCTTAGTATAGATTAGATAGTCTATAATCTTATTATATTGCTTATATAGGAGCTTTAGCTCTTCTATTACTAAATATATAATTTAATTAAAATATAATTATATATTAGTCTATTATAGACCCTTCTAGTTTATCTTTTTTATAGTATTATAAGAACTATTAATTTAGGTATTAAGCTACTAATTTAAAAATTCTATTTTATTTATATTATTAAAAATTATCTAGGTCTTTTTCTGATCGTTAGATTATTTTAATATTAGTAATATAATAAGAGAGAGGCTTTATTTAGTTTACTAGCTTTTTAGTGGTTCTAAGAGGGTATCGAGAAATTGATTAGAATAGAAAATAGATAATTTAAACCCTTTACTCTTAATAAAAAAGGGAGGGTATAAGATAGATAACTAAGATATAGAAGAGATATAATAATAGTATATTAAAATAAAGGACTTAAGATATAGAAAAATAATCTAAGGTAAATTATTGTAGATTTAGAGGAATATATAGATCTAATACTTATTTTTTATTAGTAAATAGAATTTAGTACTATTCTAGTACTAAATTTTATAACTAATTAGAATAGGCTCTACTAATATATATAAAGTTTATTAGATAATAAGAAATAGATTAATAGATTAATCTATAGGCTAACCTATTAATCTAAATAATTAGATAAGAGTAATACCCTAAGATTTTTCTTTTTATCCCTAAAAAATTTTAACCTAACTAGCTAATATTATTATTTTATATAAATCCAGAAAAAATATTTAAAATAATTCTTTTATATAATTAAGACTATAATATACTTATATATTAATAAAGAAATATTAGATATTAGATTTATATCTATTTTATTATTTCTAATATATATAGTTTATTTATATAAAAAGTAATAGTACTACTATAGACTTTAAATATATATTTTTAGGTTTAGTATAAGAAATAGTTAACTAATATCTTCTTTTATCTATATCTATCTATTATAAAATATAATTCTTACCTTAAAGTATTAAATCAATAAATTAATATATTATATTCTAAATATATTATTACTATATAATATTCTTTTTATAAAGAGTTATAATTATAAGTTATATTAGAACAAAAACAGTATTTAATAATAGTATATTATTAAAAAAGATAAGTAAATTATCTATCCTAATTAAGAAATTTATGCTAAAATAGGTCAAAAATAGGTTAACCCGTTAACCCGCGGGTCAACCCATAGGCGGGTCAGGATTTTATTGACCCGACCTATGGGTCGTGGGTTTGGGTCATGGGTCAAGATCTTTGACCCATGGGACGGGTCTGTCCATGTCTAAGTCAGCGTTTGAATATTGGATAGTCTAGGAGCTCAATTTATCCTTAGACCCAATGATTGACATACTTTTCCAGCTTTCTTTATGCTCGTATAGTAGAGACAGTAGGACCTCCTTAGTATATGCTGCTGCCGTGATTACAGCGTATGGTTGCCACTTATTGCTTTTGGATGAATCTGCGAAATCACTTATCCCTCTGATCACAGCCACTAGTAGCCTCGTCATCATCCCTGCAGCTTCCATTTCAACCGCAATACCGCCGTAAAGATTTCGTAGTTAGTCTCTTTTGGCTTTTAACTTAATTACTATATTCCCGGAGAGAATTGTGCCGTAGTGCACCTTAGGGTGAATACAGTTTATGTGTAAAGTAATAGAGTCTGGCCTCCGGAATTCCGGTAGTCTGTCCACTACCTACAAGTGTCGCCTGAATCGCAGGTCGCCATACGCCCGAACCTTGTTGATTACTGATCGAAGCAGCGGATACGTTGAGTTCTGCCAATGCTTTGGTTCAAATGTATCTTCATCTCCCCGCCTTGACGAGATCATACCCCACCACTCTAGGACGGTCGCCTTCAGGAACTGCAACCGCAACATCCCCGAGTTGCATGTCGTGGGTCGATGATGGCATCCCACCGGCAATACCGACTAGGAGACCTAGTTGTAGATTCCGTAGATCCCTCAAAACTTCGGCAGCCATGCTCCCCGAGACGGCGAGGCCTTGTTCCTGATAATAGCCGACCACAGCGACCTTGTGAGGGCCGATATCGCCAATTGTATAAACGACGTTCTATCCTCGGGCTCTTAGGGGGATCTCTTCAGATATCTTATCGAGCATGGCGATGGCTGCCCGGAGTTCGACCTCCAGTGGGCGGAGCCAGACAATCGAACATTCATCAAGAGGTGTGCTGAATGCCATATTGAAACGGAAGGAGAGATAATTTAGGTAACGAAAGCTCTCGCGTTTCGTCCACGGGCTTTGAGAGGTTTCTATCCAGGACTCGGGTTATTATCGGTGTTGCTCAGTATAGCTGTATATTATACTTGGGTTAGATCAACGCTCGTAGCATCCATGGGGGATATATTAAAACTGCATCCGTGTCTAGATCAGGTTGAACGGTCATCTCCCCCACCATCAAGAGGCCCATGCGGGGCTGACATGGCGGTTTGCATTGGGGGCTGAATTGGGCAGCAAATACACTCAAGTGACGACAGGTCAGTAGGACCCATCCCACAAGTCAGTAGGACGTGGGGCGAACATGGGTCAGGCATCCACTAGATTAGACCAATCAGATTGCAGAATTTCAAGGATCCTACCGAGCTCTCATTTCCGCCCCCACTTGTGTTCTTCCTTATCCACCTCTCACACCGCTCGTAACGAAACAATATGATACGCCCTGTGATACCCCTCCGACACGATAGCGAACTACTAAGAGCACGTATGTATCACTTAGGCACTGACAGCTTGGATTTGAGCTGAAAATTGATGGAATCAGATATAAACTGACCAGGAACCAATAAATCATCACCTGTACACAGCCTGTGTTCAAATGGTACAATGAACTGAAGAGCAGTGTAGAGGTACCCTTATCTCATGGATGAGAACAATCCAGTGATGGTTAAGCAGCACGCACCAGGTGAGTCTTACTGATAAAAGAGGAAGTCTACTAGTAGTATCTATTACTAGTAAAATACTAATATTTTATTAGCATCTTGGTCAGTGGGAGATCTATTTTAGGGAGTTGCTCTGCTGTGCACCAGGTTGCCAAAAATCAGTAAGTTTTGAAAAATTGACAACCTTTTGACAAGAATACTACTAATTGCATCGTTGACAATGGCAAGATTGTGGGGCTTATTGACTGGGGAATGGCTGGATTTTCCGGCTGGAGGACCGCCAGAGAAGTCCACTGTCTGATCAGGACCCCACAGCGAGAGGATTTCGTGAAGGCAAATTTGAGGGAGGAACAGCTCCAGCCTGACAGCACTCCCGCATAGCACTTGTATCTAAAGCAAGGTACATCGAGCAAATGAATAACCGATTGATATATTGGCAAGGTCACAGAAAAAGGTAGTTTCAAAGTTCCTATCAACAAACTTCATTTAGAGCCAGTGCTGTCTGATCTCTAATAGCCTGGATGGCCCATGCTGTCGTCAAGCCGTGGTGATAGCAGAGTTGACCGGACTGTGGAGACTTGTATATAGCTCCGGGGGGCCAACTGCCGTCAGTTTGCTGACTCATGACAAGCAAGTTAACTGCCGAATCATCCCGAATGCCACACCTGGCAGCAGCAATCAGACGAGCAGCAAGGGACATTGAATCAACAACTGCTTCTTTCCTTTCCAGGATGCACTCGCGAAGAAGACCCAGAAACCTAGGTCGTAGGCTCTGTGCCTTCTGGAGCATTCGGGACACGAAGAACAATATAAGATCAGGGGTGGTGTAGTAGTGAGAAGAATATTTGTGGGCACGAGTTTTCAGCATATTGAAGACCCATTCTTCTGTTTCTCGAAGCTGCTCACCCCTTCCAAATTCATGAAAGAGCGCTAGAGCGTTAATAGCAATGGCGAAGTCCAGTCGTATCAACTCATCTGAGAAATATACTTGCATGATTCCCTCTGAGTCCCGCAGCTGCAGCATCTGGTCCATAATATCATGTCGCTGGTCCATAGTGACATCCTTGAGGACGGACAACGCGATGGAGTTGTGGTCCACGCATGGCGGTTTGGAGTAAACCGGCACTTTGCGAACTGAATCATCGTAAAGCCAAGTGAACGGTGGTGAGCTACCAGGTAGGTAGACCAGGCTTTCATCACCAAGAGCTTCCATGATATGGAGTTGGCAACAGGCATCTTTCAGTCCTTCACCCTCACTTGTCTGTAAATCCAAACATTTCGCATGATGCTTCAGAAACGACAGGCCGCTTTGTATTGGGTTTGAACAAAGCTTTCGAACTCCAGTCGCACACTGAACCTCGCTCTTATACACCATAGTTTGAAAGCCGCCAAGTTGTGCTGCTGCTGCATGTTCCAGATTTTGAGTAACGTAGAGAGTATCAGATGGTTTTAGCTGACCAGCTATAACCAGTTTCCTAATGAACCCTGCATGTGGCAGACGTTCGCCGAGCTGACAGGAAGTGATTATAGGAAGCGTAGGTTTCTTGTCTCGACGTGGATGTGCCTGTAATGCATCCAGTTGATCCCCGGAGGCATTACCAACGGCAAAGAATCTCATATCTGGGAATTTGTCCTGCAGGGTAATCGCACCGATTGGAAGGGACGGTTGTGGCATGGCTTTAATAGCGTAGAGTAGTTCCGAGAGGGTGAGGCCCAGCTTTTTTGCTAAAGCTTGGTGGCACTCATCCTGGTTAAGAAGGCCCTTCTGGTGGTTAAACCAGGTACCAGAATGTGCAATTTTGTAGAGCGATGAATTTGGCACAGGGCGGATTTGATCTTGCTCTGCCTGGGTTTTCCCATTGGCGAAACTGAATTCGAAAATCACGGATGTAAACATCGAAGCAATTTCTATAATGGACAAATAGATGTGTTGGCTGTGGCTATATGTCCCTGCTGTTGAGATTGGCTATGATAAAGCACTGAATACTGAGTGAGGGCCTGCTAGAGAATCGACCTTGATGGGATTAACAGAACTATTCATAGTTGGCTATTGAACTGTATATTGGCTTTTATGAGATTCAGGGGACATTTTCCTTGAAGCGGCAAGCCCCTCACAGTGGCAAATCCCCCATGATCAGTCTCAATCGGTGTTCTTCAATGAAGATCCCCTGAATGAAGCATATATCGGCGGCAGGAGCGCTTGACACACATATTAAGTTCAATGCCTCCGGTTGCTTGAACAGGTATGCCGACAGAGGTTGGAAACGAGGCATCAGTTCGGTACTTTATCCTAGAACCTCAACACCTGCTTTGTGGACAAACTCGGTCTTTAAAATTCTTCCATTAGTTCAAACATTATAAGTTGATTAATGATTAAGGATATATTCTACATGGAATTAAAATAGTAAAGATAGCTCATCGTCATCGACCCTAGGCATTCATTGAGCATACGGTAACTGCATACCGCCTAGATAGGTGAAATCGACGGTAGCACCCCGTGGCTGCCTGCACGGTGATGAAATGGTCATTCTGTATTCTGCAAGATAGGGTTCGTTTCCCAACGCTGGCCCAACAATTACCACCGTCGCGTAGTATTAAGATGTATTATGTTGTTACCTACAAGGCCTATTTGAGGAATACTTTGTCTATACCCTTGCAAAGGATCTTATTCTTTCACGCAGTGAATCGCCGAGGCTACTAGAGCTGATAGACTAGACAAAGATAGCGTCAAAAGGAAGACAAGTTATTTGTCGAACGTAAAGAAGGACCCCAACCAACCACCTGTTTCATCTTTGCCATAAACTCTGACCTACGGATTGGAAATTAGACATTTTCGGCTAGTGGGTTTGCCTGGTTCTGAAAATTATGACGCAAGGCCGGTTCTATCACGTGTAAGATAGTAAGTTGTAGTATTGTCTTATATTCCCTCTAGTCCCCGTGGATTGTTTACCAAATTACACATCCCTATTTGATTATGTCCCAGCCTCATAACATGACTACCCTCAACAATCTGTCCGCGGAAACTTGGCTTCTTAGCAAGACCCAGTTTGAGAATATTACGCGAGACTTTCTTCAAAATGTTTCCTTTCACATACCAACACTCTCTAAAGATCTGTTATTGACAGAATCGGTCGTTCAACATTCTCGCTAGGTTGCTACTGCCCAGGGCCTCAACCCGGAAAAGGTATCCAAAATGGCTGAACAATCGGTTGATCTGGCGCTCTTGGTGTTCCCTCTTCATGAGAAGGAGCTACAGAAAGCGATTGCGCTGTATACGACATATTTCTTCACTGTCGACGATCTCGGAAATGACTTCCTAAGTGAGCTACGAAGTTTTAGAAGCAACATCCTGTTAGAAAAACCTCAAGGGACCCCTGTACTTGACGCCTGGGCTGGGATTCTCGCGCGCTTTGATAAATATTATGGAGGCCAGGGTGCAGACATGATACTCACCAGAACGCTTGAATGCATCACAGCCACCATCTTTGAGTTCGAAACAGATAGAAGACTTCGGATACACCCATGCGCAAAGAAGTTTCCTACCTACTTTCGATTAAAGACCGGAATCTCCGCGCCATACGTTAGCTTCGTCTTTCTTGAACGCTTGTTTCCGGAAAGTTCTTATCTGGAGCATTATATCTAAGCAATTCCCGACCTCGTGGAGTTTGCCTCGTTCACCAATGACATCCTTTCCTTCTACAAAGAATCGGTCATCTCGACGGAGCGACATAACTATGTTTGCAATTATGCCGCGGTGCATGATCAGAGCATAGGTGAGACTCTACAAGCCATAGTCGACAAGACTCAAGAATGCGCAAGGAATGTGAGATCAATTCTTGCCTCTGAACCAGAGATGTTGAGATACGCCGAAACTTTTATCCATGGCAACATAGCTGTTCATTCTTACCTTCCTCGGTACCGGCTGTCAGAACTCGACATACCGGCAGTGAAAGAATTGCGGTTGTGAAGTTGAAGCACCGTCCATTATTTATGGCTACTCAAAGAGGTTGATCCTGTACTTTCGGATTGAGTAGGAGCTGCCAGAGAAGAGCGATCACAAATTTTACATATTTCTTCATTCGCTAATTGTGCTCTCTGTGTGTGTGTGTAATTCTGACCCCTCGCCAAAGCGGTATGCTACAACGACGACATGTGATGTATTAGGGAACATCTGATATACCAATGAGACAGTGCGGCAAATATTTTAATATCCTTTGAGCAGATAATGGAAAGACTTTGTTTTTCGGGGGGCATCTTGGTGGATCAGAGTTCGATGAGCCTCAGTGTTTCAGTATACGGTAGTGGATACACATTGGCGCGTCCTCGTCATAGGCTCCTCCTTCTTCCAACTCGGATAGGTGTAGGCGTCTGCGAGGACGTGCACCAGATCTACTCGTGGGGTCAATGCCATTCTCAAGGCGGGGAAGGGCTAAACGTAGATAACGTGGCGTACGGACTGCCACAGTAGTTAGGAGTTGGAGCGTAATCCGAGTTGTGTACCCATGTAGTTCATGCTCCACAGATTGAAATATACAATCGATGTGATACGGGCTCATCTCTAAAAAGTAATCATGACCCTTGGAAAGTTCCTGAGAGCTTATGGGAGAGCCAGACCCGGGTTGAGGCTGGCAACGAATGAGACGCGCAATAGATAGCAAAAGCCATGGAGATAAAATAATTCGTCTTCCCCTACATGAGTTAGCCCTCTACAGAATAAGCGCAGCCTTTTTTAGTATAGCAGGCGGTCATAAACAAAGGCTGCGACAGATATAGAAGGAATGGAGGGAGAGAGGCAAAACGGGAGAGAAAGCGGCCGGGCAATCTTACCAGATCGACAGATCTACCAAGCGATTCTACGTGATTCTATTATATTGTACTAACTATTCTCAAGGTAGGAAACACAACGAAAGTCTATTTTTCTGCACGCATGTAAATATGGCAAGCCAAATACTCTGCATATGCAGTGGTTTCCAACATTGGCCGGGGTTGGGAAGCTTTTGAAGTAAAAGTCAGTAGTAAGCCAGTTCAGTTCCCTATATGCGTCCTAAAGGTAGGCACTGACACGGTCCATGTTGCCACTGTTCTGGCCGGAAAAAGCTCCACAGTGGAGTGTGAATTCATATATCGATATGCATATTTCCCCGCGTATTATACCTTAATCCTTACATACTCAATGTGATTTTCCCCCACACACTTTCTATAGCTCCCGGCTACTTGTGCTAACTAAAGATATAGATGTGAGGGCCAAGCCTCGTACTACGGGGTTCAATGAATTCGTCCGACTCTGAGGAGATTTACCATTCTGGAAAGTCGCAAGATAGTTTCTATTCGCTAAAGCACCTCAAGCACCGAGTACCCTTACATTTTGCTATCGAAATTGCCTACCTCTTTCAGTATTTCTTGCATTCTTGCTGTAATAATTGTCTTCTGCACGCTCCATGCTATTCGCAGTTTCTTCCTCTTCGCCCACGTGTCTGTCTTTGTGCCAGGGTTTTCCCATGCCTATCTCATCAAGTTTATAATGAAATATATATGGAAAACCTGCGGTGTCCAAACAGTACGTAACTGGCGAACCTCTCAGAAATTGCGCGCCAGGTACGGTCCTGTAATCATGAAAGAATCCAAGGCAAAGATGATGTGGTATGCGTTCCCTGCCGAGATAGTGTGCAGGCCTAGCCATACGACACCAGAGAACTGGTGTGTCCATCATCGACCAGACTTATATGCGATGACACGCTTCTGTAATATTTCAGCTGTGGATGTAGTTAGGGCGACGGTACATTGGCCAAGTGTGAAAACATTTGAACTTGGCTGAGGGAACTCAAAATTCGATGACGTGGCTGGTAATGCAGATTGAACTTGGTGGAGGGCGAGGTGGAGGCTTCTTTTACTTTATTGCACAGATATTGGCTGACCTTCTTCCATGTCACAAGGGAGTGTCTGTTGTTGTACGGAAATTTGTTCCTCCATGCTTTGTATTGGAACATTTGATCGGATCGGATATGACGTGGAGGTTGTGACCCACAATTGATCGACATAAGGGCTGTGCAATTGGTGTCCAAGCGTTGGTCTCATGAACTGCGTGATTTTTCTCTAACGGATGTTGAACAACGTGTACTGCGTCAAATTGACATGAACGCTTATTTTTCCGTGTTGCGTTCATATGGCTGAGTACCAGGACACTAGGCGAATGTTATAATGAATGTCAGCACCGAACAATTTTACCTTCACTTCCCCAGCGTTCTGCGTAGGCTTTGCGAGGCTTTTTGGTGTCGAGGAAGGCGGCGGCGGATGTTCGTCATCATTAGCTGACTTCAAATGCGGTGATGATTCCGCTGCCTTGGTTATTGCTTCCTTATTGGGAGAGTCGGCGAAGAAAGCAGTGCCAGTGAGTCCGCCAAAGGGTGGACAGACTACCGAGCGAGACTAGGGAGTCTAGCAAGAACAAAACGTCCAGCGGGTCCTAACAATTATAAAGGTGCCTCAGGCCACACTTTTACAACATGTAGAGGTATGGTTTCCGGTGACACGTGCTCTTAGATACGAAAGTTATGCCAGGAAATTTCTAGCGTACGCCTCAGGACCCGTTGTAGGAAAAGCGATCGAATTTTAAGGGCAAAAAGAAGATTCAGATTCGGTCGCTGAAACAACGCATCAAAACAAATTGTTCTGACAAGGTCCCTCAAGCCTTGCAAAGGGCAATACCGAGGCATTTGAGGACATCCATTAGAGCGATAATATCAGTAGCTATTACTGGTTGATAGTGTAGAGTATATGGTACAGGGATATATCGGAACAAGCTAAAAGCATATAGACTATTATGCATCCAGAGCGAATTAGACCAAGCAGAACCAATTGAAGATGAAAGATTGATTGATTGATTGATTGAAGAGAATG